CAACATTGTGTTTGTAGATCTCCGAGTTATATATTTTTATTCATTTTTTGGAAAACTCTCTCTGTTTATGGGGCTCAAAAAAAAAAAAAAGCAAAAGTTTTCATTCCTGCTGCAAAGCTGAGTTAAAAAATGTACTGCAGCCTCAGAAATTTGGGGTGGACCATCTTTGCCTCCTGCGTGTGGGGCTTTCAGCTAATTTGCTTGCCCTTTGATGTCATGATTCCTTTGTTCTTTATGTGGACATTCTTCCATTTTGCTCCACTATGGATATCCCATCTTGTTCTTCTTCTCAAGATTACTGGTATGGGACAGTGAAGTACTCCCGAATGGATTTTGTGGCGAGCTGGATCCAGCGAGGAAGAGACCTGGGATTATCTACCTATAATAAAGCCAGGGAGTTCTTCAGACTTCAGCCTGCTAAGAACTGGACAGACATTAAACAGAAGAACCAAAAGGTACCCCATCAGAGGGGTTAAAACGGACATAAGATAGGGCGGAAGGCAGACAGAAGACTAGCAGCTTCTTGTCCATTGAAAGCAGGCCTACCATTACTTCCCTTTAAAGCTTAAGCAGATATAGAGGCTCAGAAGGCAGGAAGAATCTTTCCTTTACATAGGAGGAAAATGCTTGACGTTAGTCTGAGCACCCATTTTGACCCCAGCCACATGCATTTATGGCACATGGACTCTTCCAACGGATACAGACTTCAGTAGAAAACAGTTCTCACTCTTATTCACATTCCTTAAAATTCCCAATAGGTAGGAAATAGAAGCTAATGCAGCTTGGTCCTCTTCTCTGCCTTCTATTGGAGTGGGCGGGAGGTTTGTTCCAGTTCAAGCAGCAAAAGCAGTGGGGCTGTTCTGAACCAGATCAAGGGTCCAGCATCCACTATTTACTCTTGAAAAGCCATTCATCCAACTGGACTTATTTTATTCTAGTCACAAGGGTCTCTTCCCATTTTGTACCTGGTACCAAACTAAAAGGGGACAAAAATCTCCCCACCTCTTTTAACTATTCAAGCACACCTTCCACTCATTTAGCCTCAAACCACATGGTCTGTTTACTCCTAGATCCTTGAATTAACTGCAAACCTGTATGGTAACAACCCTGATCACCTGGAGCTGCTTCTTGGAGGGATGCTGGAAGAGGATGAGACCCTCTTCCGAGCCATCATTGAGGACCAGTTTGTTCGCCTACGAGATGGAGACCGATTCTGGTTTGAAAACACCAAGAATGGGTAAGAAGTTATCCCATCAGAACATCATTTAATTTAATCCTTCGGTATCTATCCATTCTTTCTTTCCTCTGGGAATGTATGGTGAGATGTGTGGTTCTCCTTGCCTTCTTTTTTTATTTTCACAATGACTTGAATAGGTAGGTTAGGCTGAGAAATAGAGACTGATCCCAAACTCACCCAAATGTTTCATGTTTGAATGAGGATTTGAACTTCAGCCTCCCAATTCTAACCTGGCATTCTAACCATAGCATTATGACTGTATTTACGCTTAGCACACTGAAGATCTAACTGATGCGTTCTCTCAAAATGCTAAGCTTGATTAATGTCAAACTGTGTTAGGGCTTTTTTTTTTTATTTGTGGCTTAGCGTGTTACGTGAAACCAGCCCCCCTGGTTAGTTTAAATTTACAGCTTTAGATAATGTGTTAATTGAACAAGCAAGCGAAGCATGCTATTTAGCTATAGTCTTTGTGGTTCTCCATTATTTCTAAGCAGCTGGTAGTCCATAATGTCACCATGCTATTCCTTGGATATGCCCACAAGATTCTGAAGGGGCCTCCATTCAAACAGCCAGCACAGCTTGTGTTGAGAGATGTTGGGAGTTCTAGCTATAGGCCAGCAACATCTGGAGAACCATAGATCATCTGACCCTCCTCTAGATACCTTTTCAAAGTCCTTTTCTCCTCTGAAAGTGTAGCACTGATTAGATAACCACTCTGAAGGATTTGGTGACATCTTGGATGGTAGGCCTCTTGGTCATACTTCAGTCCTTTTGGGTGGTGGCTTTTTCTAAGATGTATATTTGAAACAGGGCAGAGCTTGTATGCTATTTCAAAAAGGGGGGAAATTCCCAGATAGTAGGTGCTGAGGGGTCCTGGCCTAGAGATCCATACCTCTTCTAGGTGGAACATAAAGGGCAGACAAACCAGTGGTCTGTCTCATCATAAGGCTGCTTCTCGTATTCTCAAAAGCCTGTGTGTCAGGCCTAGCCCAAGGAACTCCAAGAAACAATGCAAATTCAGTTCAGCTTTGTTTATTAGCTACAACCTCTAG